AGAATATTTTAGATGCTTATGTGATTCTTGTATGGCTATCAAGCCCTCTTTCCTTATCTCTCCTCCCTTCCTTGTCCTTGCTTTCCATTCCTGTACCACCTCCAATTAATTTTCTAATAAGTACAATAAATGGAAATCTACGAAAGGGGGAAGTTGTTGCTTTAATATAGGCTTCCTTCTCATATTATTTGCACTGGGCCATACTGGTCAGCTTTGTATAAAAGCTGGTAGTTGGAAGTATTCATAAACTTCCATTACCCTTGTGAGTTTTTAAGATACATAATTCTTTTAAAATAATATCACACTGGGGAGATCTGAATACGGTGGTTGGATTATCTCAATGTCAGGCCCCCGGTTGTGATATGGTACTACAGTTTTTCAAGTTATTACCACTGAGGAGAGGGGACTCATGGGATCTTTCTATATCATTTATTACAAATGCATATAAATTTATAATTATATTTATAAAACTTCCAGTCAATTGTTATTATAAAGAATTATATTCCTTCTCTCATTTAGGTCTGTCTAGCAAAAGATGACTTGATGGTTAATATAATACGGCACTTAAAAGTATAGACTTCGAGCCTGACAAACCTGGACTTGAACATGGCTCTATTCAGTTGGCTGAGTTACTGAGCCTCTCAAGATTTTGTCCTCATTAGGTGAATGAGGAGAATAATAGTAAATATTTCATAGACTTTTGAGGATTACGTGAGATCATGTAAATCACTTTCTCAGTGCTTGATATATAGGAAATACTGGAAAATATCAGTGGCTGTGATGAAGAGGATGATTATCATCACCATCATCATCACTATTATTATGTCCATAATTAGAGTTACAAGAGGAGCACTTCATCATCTTCCCTTGGCCTAGATTCTAATTGCTACTGGGTATCTTGGCTTGTCCTTCATAAGGGGCACTTTGATTTTTCACATCCTTGTTTTACTTAAAATAAGTTAAGGGCCATTTTATCAATCAGAGCTAAATGATCACTGCTAATAGATATATTATAATAAGTTATTGAAACTGATGACAGTAGATTTGTGATCAAAATTTTCTGAATACAAAATAAGAGAGAAGAAGGAACAAACTGAAACTGAGCAACATACTGTCTGTACCCCAGCAATACAACTCTGAAATAGAAAGTCGTTTTTGGCTGCAGACTCCCAAAGAGCATGTGTGTTCTCTTTTCTATCACTGAAGTCCATCCGATGTAGTGGAAAAAGCACCGGTCGGAGGAATGAGCAGTTCTGGGTCCCAGATCCAGCCCTGTCATAGGCACTGTGATCTTAGGCCACGTCTTTTAGTTTCTCTAGCTACCTGTTTCCCTATGTGTAAATTGTGAGGTTTGAATTAGATTAGTGATTCTCAGAGAGTGGTCCCTGGATCACCAAGCAGCACCAAGTTTACCTGGGTACTGGCCAGGAAAGTACCCTCTCAGATCCCACCTAGATCTACTGGTTTAGAGGCTCTGAGGGTAGGGCCTGCCAGTCTTTGTTTTAACAAGCCCTCTGGCAGAACTGGATTCACACTAAAGTTGGAGAGCCACTGCCCTGGATTAAATTTTAGTCTAAATATTAGATTGTTGGACCCAGCTCCCCGAGTTTCTGATTCATAGATCTGGGGTGGGTCTGAAAATGTGCTTTTATGACATTCTCCATCCTTGCTGATGTTACTGGTCATGTTCCATCCTTTGAAAACTACTAGGCTAGATCAACTCTAAGCTCTGTTCCAACTCTGATTTTATCCTCACTATTGCTTTCACAATGTCTTCTGCCCCCCTTCTTACTTACTTTATCCCGCAACTTATTGAAACCGCCTCTGAATTCATGTTTAGCATTGAAAATTTCTAACATATCCTACTTTGTGGAGTGTGATGACTGGAAAAGAACTTCCCTAAATTCTTACAACTGATGTTAATATGAAACACCTACAACTCGTCAGCATTGAACGCGACCCTAGATGGTTCACTTAGTTATCTCATGTACACAGCTCTTTACAAAAGAAATATCTTCAGACACCAAAGTTCAGGAATCAAGATCTGATGCTTTGTTGCCATTGATCCCTTTATGTTGTCTCATGTTCTGAAGATTTTGGGCATCAGTGTAGAAGTAAAATTATGTTTTCATCCCAAGATTCTATATAATGAATAGTAGTAAAGTTCCCAAATTCCATCTTCACATGATCCTTGTAGTCTTATCTCTTCTTTTTCATGGTTTTCTAGATACTTGGGATGGGATAATGCTCTGTGAGGCCTGGTTTCTGCTAAAAACATGACAATTCTCTGCCTGTCAAACTGAATTATTTTGCTGATTCATGTTTTCTTTTTCAAAGTAGAGTTATGGGGAAGAGCCACTATTTCTTCTCTTTTTTTTATTTTCTTTTAAGTAATTTGATTATTTTCTAGAACTGCATATGCAAACTATCGTAAGAAAAAAGCAAGGCTCTAACATTTCCCGAGTGCCTGTTCTTTGCCAGTCACTGTGCCACAAGTGTTACTTTCTGGTCTGTTTAATCCTCACAATAACCGCATAAGGTAATATTAGCTTTTACATGAAGCAATAGGCTCAGACTACAGAAAGGTTAAGTAACTGTTCATGATCACATGGCCAAGGAAATGGCAGTGTATAGATTTAAGCTCTGAGATGTTTGACAGCAAAACCTTTGTAGACATGGTAGATTCTGGACAAATGTGTGATGAACAAATGAATAAAGGAATGACTACATCATATTATCTTCCTAATGCTGAGTTTGCAAAACAACAGAATCATAAAGTGGAACAGACTCTGGAGGTCATTATCTAGTCAGGGTTTTAGTTATGTTACCCTCTGAAGTATCTCCACCCTGCGGGTACACAGCCTTTCCTTGACCACCTCTGGGGAAATGACACACAGGACCTCTTTAATCGGAGTGCTTGTTGAATAACTAATTTTTAGAACGTTCTTCTTTACATTTAGCTCCCCTAAAATCTTTTTCTTCTGAGTCTTATTCCGCCCTTGTTAACCGCTCAGACTTAATCTGCTTCTTTTGCTGCACGAAGATAACCTTGTATCTTCTCTCTTCCAAGCTAAATAGCCCCCATTTTTTCAGCTACTTCTCAAGATCTGTAGCACGGAAGAATAACTTAATAATTGTTCATTAAAAAGAAGGAAAGAATAAATAAATACGATGCCTAGACTTCTCACTTTCTTGTTCACCTTTAGAGCATGAGGCGTCTGTGCTGTTCTAGGTCCATGCTAGGAACCATATGTCTAGAAGTAAATGAAATGATTTCCTTTGATCTACTCTTGCACTGAACAGCAGTCACCTACAAGAAAGACTGTTTTATTTTCTGACATAGAACAGTGCCCTCCTCTTTGACATCTCAGGTTTGCATCAGGTCACAGCAAGCTGGAGTTGAACAGCAAACCTAGTGCTTTTCTTCAGGGTTAAAGGCAAGACCCGGGCACGAGGGGATCAGCTCCAATTTACGCAGGCTGTTTGTACTCTCACGTACAAAACTCGGGCTTACCTCAGCTAAAATGGTAGAAATAGCTGCCCAAAGCTAGTTTCTTTCACGCCCCACTGGCAAGGTAGTAATTGCACAAAGACCTTTTTATTATAAGTTGATTTTCCTGAGAAATGAATTCAGAAAAATACTGTAAAGTGTTTATTTTTTGCTTGCCCTTTATTAACCCACATCTTAGCGCTTTCCCTAGAGAAAAACTGTTGGTAAATGAAACCTCTTAGACCCACACAGAAGCATTTTTGCACCATGTCTCTGGCTGTGGAGGGAACAGGGACAGGACAAGGCAAGTTGGCGCTATTTAAACAGGGTCATCGGCCAGTTTACGGAATTTTGCCTAAAGAGAAATTTTAAGAATTTAAACGGGGGAAGGGCTTGGGGTTGGTAGAATTATTGGTAAATGTTTATATCTTAAACAGGATATAAGGCAGTTTTTTTTTTTTTTTTTTAATATGAGCAAAGAGCCCGAAGACCCAGTTTGAACTTAAAAATCACTTCTGTGAGGACATCCTAGTTTTGATCTTTAAAGAACAAAAGTCCTGTAGTTCAGCCTATAAAATCAGGCACTAAAAGCCAGGACAAAACCTTCCTGTGATGCTCTCCTGGAATCAGGGTAGCATGCATCAAGTAAAAAAGGGAGAGCTAGGGAATTAAAATGTGATTTCACAGGCATGATTTTGTCATAGCTCTTATTTTCTTTATCTAGAATACAAATACTGATATAGAGTGAAGATTTTCTATTTTGCATTTCTGTGCTCTTTGATACATTTATTGAGGTCAAATGAAATTTGATATAGTAGGATTTATTATGAAATGCTCTCTGAATACAACTCCGTAATTACTGAGCCACATGGTAGTACATAAAGCTGTAAAACCGCTAAGCCAGACAAGCAATTTATATGTTACATCGAGGTGTGTATGGCAAAGAATATTAGTTTAATTGGGAGCCAAGATGTAGTAGCCCTAAATCTGAGGAGCTATATGTTTAACATAATGCGGCAAGGCTTTGAAATAAGACACCTAAACTGGGGAGATGCCGCTTTGGGAATATATAACAATTAGACATTATTTTCTGACCAAGGATACTAAATCCTGTTTCCCAAATAAAAGGCAGAATGCAAAGCAGGTGAAGGGGCAAAACCTTTCAATATTGCACGGTGTACGAAGCAAACTTATTTCTTCCAGCTGTTTTGTTTAAAAAAAAAAAAAGGAAGAAGGAACACAGTCGAGAGAAAAGAAAATCATTCACCAGGATTTGGTGGAAGGGAGGGATGAGGCAAATTCGCAATGAGGTTGTGTCCTTGGAGTGCTAATGGGATCTAAGAACAGGGACTTGGTAACTTTCACCTGCATTTTCTCAGGGAGCAGATCTGGAATGAGGTCGGAAGTGGGTGGCTGTTTGGGTACCAGCACATCGGCAGGAGTGAAAAACAAATACTTCTTGGCACACATTTGCTCTCTGTCTGATCATAGGCTCTCTTCTGTTTAGCAGGTTCAGGGTCACATGCCTCCGCTCATGATCCCAATTTTTCCACATGACCAGCGGACCCTGGCAGCAGCCGCTGCTGCCCAGCAGGGCTTCCTCTTCCCCCCTGGAATAACATACAAACCAGGTAAGTAGAGAGGAATTTAACATTCTTTTGGAAATGCTCAGATCCCCGTGTTTTTGCTTAGTAGTCACAACAAACACAGGAGCATACAAAGGAACTATGAATAAAAAGATCACAAAAGCTGATTTTCACATAAAATTCAAATTGGGACGTTAATTGGGAAGGGGGCACATTCAGAAACTCATTGGTTGCTAAAAACTTTTGTATTCTCTTTTTTCACTTGGTTTGTTCTGAATTCACAGAATGCTACTTTCCCTGGGGACCACAGGTTTTTGTCAGCTCTCTCTCATACCTTCACTGTCAATAATTGTCTTTGGTTAAAGACCCTTTCCTCCTCCTCCTGGGAGCTTTCATGCTCTGGGACAGTAGTCACACAAACTATCAAATGTTACTGTTGTTTGTTGTCTGGTTTCTCCTGGAAGAAAAGTTAAAACAGGACTGATTTAATTAGCTCGCTGCTAATAGGTAAGCTACCTTTGGATTTGAGTGTAAATAATGAAGCATTCAATAGTATTTTTCTCATTCATCTTTGAACCTCAGAAACAGGTCACATAACCTTGCAGTGAAATATGTTTTGAGATGATTTAGCAAATGTTATGATTTTTCTTTATTCCTCTGAGTTTACTGGACTCCTGGGGAATTCAATTAGGGACATAATGGTTTGAAGTTTCTTTCAGAGCCTCCTTGTAAACAGGGCTTTAAATGTTTAAAGATATGTTGCCAAAGGAATCCAATGTAAGAAGATAGTCAAGTAAATAAAGTCAACCTTAATTTCATTTGTGCATTCTTTGTAAGTGACCTCAGCTCAGAAGTAGTGACCTTGTTCTACTCATTAATAATTTCCGTGTCAAGTTCTTTTTAACGTATTAACCTGATTATATTAACCACCAAATCCGAGTACAACAAATCTGAGTGCAGCGGTTTCGTGTAGAGGGTTTATAAAGTGAACAAAGGCCTTTTAATGTGCTTAAAGTAATAATAAAATCTAAATCACTTTACTGAAATCCTCAGTAAGGAAGCTTACTAAGTAGCATAAAAACAAACCTAGTGAATTTTAACATCTATTTTAATTGCTTATTGCTATCAATTACTCTTTTGCATTTGCTAGATGTCCACCTTTCTTGTGAGAAAAGGTAGGATGTCTGTCAGAACTCACAGGTTTCAAGAAATAGAGATATTAAGGAATTGGCTCATTTTAAGGACTGACTTTGAAAATTCTTCAGATGCAAATTAGTCAGGTCTGGTTTTACCAAAGATTTTGGGATACCTGAATAAAAGAAAATTTTATTGTTTAACCTGTCAGATTTTGATTTTTCTAGAGCAGGATTTTTAGAGCAAGGTATATTCCTTATAAAATTGGTACCCATATTAAGGATAGGAGTATATTTTGTCAGAGACTATGTTTCCGTCAATGCAGTGGTTCAGTCCTTCCCTGATCTCTCTAAGCAGTTCTGAACTATTTCTCCATCTTGACTTCCTCTGGAACATTGATGTAAGCTCAATTTACTTGTTTACCCTGAATCCGAGTTGTCATCCCTCTTACCAGTCTTAGAAACTTTTTCATCTGTAGAAACCCTTTCTTTAATTTCAGTGCTTCTAAAATTTAAAACGCTTCACATTTAAAAATCAGGGATGAGCATTATTTTCTACTGCACGTAACAGTGACATAGTTGACCTGTTACCTGATTTTGTTAAAACAATAATGCCATTTTTCATGGGGAAATGTATTGTTATATAGTTAATGAATTTGGACCACTTTTAAAAGAATTCTTCTCACATGGCACTGATGAGACCGTAGTAAGTAACTAAGGAGAATATGGAGATTGGGAGAGTGGTGCCCATAAGTGGTGCCCATATGTTATCTCTGCCAGACAACATATGTGCAGCATACAGTAGTGTTCAGGGATAGCAGGATTATGTGTGATTATGGCGGCTAAAACCTGTTGTTTAAAGCATGACAAGGATCTGGGCATGTAGGACAATTTTTAATCACAAGCAAGGCTGATAAAATAAGTTATTTTCTGGTGGCCCCTAAGTTATATCAGAGGATTTTATTAAACAGAATTCTAAATTCTTAATATTTTGGCTGATTCAGGTTTTATAGTATATCCAAATTATATTTTAAAAGATTAAAATTATTTATTCTTATGCAATTAGCAGAGAAATTACATACTTGGGTGACTTAATCTATGTGGTGTTTCTGTCCTTCACATGAACTGGGGGAGTAGAATCGTGTTGGATAACACAATCGTGTCGTGTTATTATATTTATTCCTAAATATGTAATTATTTTATATGGAATCTGGACTAGGAAAATTTTTTGCTCCAAACTGATCTGTGATAATTTCATTTGAAATACATGTGAAATGATGATTAAATTTTTAGAAGAGAGTAGTTCTGTCACATATAAAAGATGTGAAGTGGTGGTATAACCTTATATTTTGGTCCCCTGGACAAGAGGATGAGCAATCACAATTTTGATCTTTATAAATTACAAAATAAATGGCTCTCTTTGCTCTTTTCCACCTTCCCATAACCTGAAACAATCCCATAGTGTTTGTGCCTTCAGCTGATTGAATAATTGTGATTTCTAGAAAGCACGGGCTATCTGAGGGTGATGTTCATGTCAAAGTTGACTGTTTCTGAATCAATGATTAGGACAGTCTGAACAAATATACTTAGGGCTACGGTCCTTCTTCCCTTCAGATAATTTTACACATTGCTCTGGGCATATCAGGGTCCTGGTGTGCAGTGAACACCAAACAAGTACTCCCACTTTGGTGGGTTGCTGAGAAGCCATATGACCTAGGGATTGTGCAGTTTCAGGGGGACTATCTATCAGATTAATATCTGTAGACACAGCTTTATTGAGTTTTAACTCTTTTTTTTTTTTTTAACTGACTGTAATTAGACACATCATTCTAGACAGGGCCCAGAACATACACCACAGAAGTTTGGTTGCTTAGTGCTCTTTCAGATCATGAAACAGAGATGCAGCAATCCGGGTCAAGAAAAATGTGTTTAAGCACCTATGTTTGAGAAAATTAAAAGAGTAAGCCTCTTTCATAGCTGGCAGTGTGTATGTAAAACAGGATTGAATTGGCTATAAAATAAAAATAATGGATTACCTCCTTCATGTGCCAGGGATGGTGCAGCTGACCCATGGACTGAGTATAGTTCGGATTTTTAAAATTGCTGCTGGAGTAGTCCCCTTGGCTTCCTTGGGGATTCTGGGAATAGGATCTCTGCCTGCCCCTGGCTTTCCACCCACTTGTTATTATAATATAATAGCTAAAGCCTCCTGAATAAGTTGCTCTGTGCCAAACACTGTGCTAAATATTTTACATGGATTATTTTATGTAATTCTTACTTGAACATGTCATTTAGCCTTGCTGAGCCTCACATTTTTGTCATCTAAAAAATATGCCTACTGCTCAGTGTGAGTGTGAAGATTAAATTTGTTACAATATATGTAAGTTCTTTGAAAATTCTAAGGCACTAGGTTTAGGGGCAAAGTCTGACCGTGAAACTATAAATTTAACGATATTAAACTACATCCTTATCCATTAGAAATGTCCAAAAACTGAGCATTGGACTGAGATATATTATCCCTCTGCCTGAAAACAAAAATAATTTTACAAGTATACCTAGTGCTTCTTTTATAAAAAATTCTGGTGAAATATACATAGCATAATACCCAATATTTTAACTATTTATAAAAGTGCAATTCAGTGACATTAATACATTTGCAATGTTGTGTAAGCATCACTACTATTTATACCCAAAACTTTTAATCATCTACAAAGGAAACTTTGTGTCCATTAAATGATAATTCTCCCTATCCCCTAGTAACCTCTATTCTACTTTCTCTATGAATTTGCCTATTCCAGATAGTTCATGTAAATGAAAGTAAGATCATACATTACTTGTTTTTCTATGTCTAGCATATTTCACTAATCATAGTGTTTTCAAGGTCCATCCATATTGCAATATATATCCAAAATTCATTCTTTTTATGGCTGAATAATATCCCCTTGTGTATGTATGTCAATATCTATATATATGTATGTGTGTGTCTATATGTATAGATATATAATATATTATGTGGCTAGACCGTTTGTCCATTCATCTGTTGATAGACACTTGGGTTGTTTCCACATTTTGGTTATTGTGAATAATGCTGCTGTGAACATCGATATACAAATATCCGTTTGAGTCCTTGCTTTCAGTTCTTTAGGATATTTGTATAGGAGCAGAATTGTTGGGTCATATGGTAGCTGTGTGTAACTTTCAGAGAAACTGCCAAACTGTTTTCTACAGAGGTTCTGCCTTTTATCCTCCCACCAGTAATCTAAGTGTTCCAGTCTCTTCACATCCTCATCAATACTTGTTACTTTCCAACTTCTTCAAAGAAATTATAGCCATCCTGGTAGATGTGAACTAGTATCTCATTGTGGTTTTGATTTTCATTTCCCTAATGATTAATCATTTTGAGCATCTTTTCATGCGCTTATTGGAAATTTGTATATATTTCTTGGAGAAAGTACTTTGCTTAGTTTTTTTTTATTATTATGTTCAGTTTTTAATTAAACTGTTTTTTGTTATTGAGTTTCAAGAGTTCTTTATATATTCTAGATATTAATCCCTTATCAGATATATGATTTGCAAATATTTCCTTCTGTTCTTAGGTTGCCTTTTCACTTACTCGATGTGTCTTTTGATGCACAAAAGTTTTAATTTTGAAGCACTCCAATTTATATTTTTTTCTTTTGGCTTGTGCTTTTGTTATCCTGTCCATGCAATTGTTGCCAAATACAAAGATTTACTCCTGTGTTTTCTTCTTAGAGTTTTATAGTGTTAGTACTTAAGTTTAGGTCTTTGATCCATTTAGTTAATTTTTATACGTTATTTATTCTTTTGCATGTGCATATCCAGTTTTCCCAGCACCAGTTGTTGAAAAGATATTCTCTGCTCATTGAATATTCCTGGCTCCCTTGCCCAAAA